CTCACAGGTGCAGATCGCCAGGTCTTTTCTTCTTTGTAGTAGTAACTGAACCACCAACTTTCTGGTTCGTAGACAGGCATTTAACACAACTAGGGCTCTTCTAAAAAAAACCTACTGTTTAGTTGGCATCCATCGAGTTGGTTCTGACCCATATCGACCCTATGTGCGACAGATTAAAATACTACGCCATCCTCACAACTGTTGCTGTGCATGAGCCACTGTTGCACCCACTGTTGCTGCCACTAATGTCAATCCATCTCGGACCAACTAGGAAGGACTCTGTGAGTCATGCTGACAGTAAGTAGGTAAATGGGGGAGTAAGGGAGATCTGGTAATATTGTAGAAGTGCTGACCAGTAATTTGGAACAAGCGCTGCAGTCATACTAGCACTAGTTTGTAATTATCATAAGACTGGTTCAAGCAAGAATCACCTCTGGGGATCTACATATAAACAGAAAAGTGGGTGAAGGGGAGACGTCAGACCGTGTAAGACAATGACAAAATAATAATATTTTATAAATTATCAAGGGTTTGTGAGAGGCGGGGAGGGAGGGGGAAAAATGAGCTGATACCAAGGGCTCAAGAAGAAGGAAAATGTTTTGAGATAGATGGCAACATCTGTACAAATGTGCATGACACAATGGATGTATGTATGGATTGTGTAAGAGTTGTACGAGCCCCCAATAAAATGATTAAAAAAAAAAAAAAACCACCTGTGGATACTAAATCTAAGCATGGGATTTTGATGAGGACATTTGTTTGCTTTTAAAGTGTTTTCTCCCAGAATGCTTACTGGTTGTGGAGAAAAACAAATAAGTTTCTAAAAAACATTTTCTTCTGCTGTGAAGAAACTGATCAAATGATCAAACTGAGCAAACCAACAGCATCTGACTGAAGACAGAAAGCAAATAGATAAGTTGTCTTTGCTACTTTCTTCAAGTTGCTTAGTGACGCTCCTCATTCTTAGAAATACATACTGAAGTATTTGCGGGTAACAAAATATTAACAGTAGGTTACTCTGAGTAATATTATAAATAAACAATAGATCTGAAAGATAAGAAATGAGAGAAGATATACCATGGTGCTTACACACACGCACATACATGCATGCGTTAGGCAGTGACATGTAAACAAAGTCAGGACAGTAGTTACAAGGGCAGGAGGGTATTTGGGTTAGGGCATGAGGAAGGTACCAAGGTTTTATCTTCTGACATATGTAGGAGTTATAAGGGTGCTTGTCTGGAAAATAAAGAGGTAAGTTGCTCATCTGTTTAATATGGTTTTCTGTATTTGGGTTACATTTAACCTTAAAAAAAAATTAATGATGTATTTTTGGAACCTGGCAAACCAAAACAACACCCTAGAAGCTGAGAAAAAATAAGCTTTAGAACAGTGTGTGACTCAGTGAACAACTGACCCTAAACATTTCTTCTCTCCATAACGAGTAAAGGTTATCATCCCAGTTACACTGCTTTTTACAGAGTACAGAACACCCGCGAAGCAAACTTTTATAAGGCTTACCTTTTTTTTTTTAAGGCTTACATTTTTGTTCTTAGTTTTGTTTTTATTTTTAAATGGTATAATGTTTAAAAGAAAATGGATCCAATATAACATTTAAGGTCTTTTACATAAAGATCTATAGAACAAATCTCTCTTTTGGATTTAGTGCTAGAACTTTTTTCTCCTGAAAAACAAGCATAGTTTATCAGAAAATAAGTGTTAGGTAATCCATAAGGTTTCCTTTGATGCCCTGGCTACTAAAAATTCATTTTGTTTTTTCTATACAATTGATTTTAATCTATTTTATCCTTATCTATATGTGGCTGTTTTCCTTATAAAATATTTCAAATTCTTTTTTCTTTTTAAGATAGAGGATAGGCTATGAATAGGTTTCTAAAAAACATCAACAATATGATTAGAACACTAGTATAAAATAATTTAGCTTCCTAGTAGCAGTACAATACAGTACAAATAAAATTGAGTTTAAAGACATCTTTAGTCAACTCAAAAAACATGCAGCTGTTTAGCATGATTACATTTTTTAGCACTTGACAAATGCAAAGTGCTAAGAAGCAACTTACTCCTCACCCTTCCCATTGATTTCTTAGGGAATCAAAACTTTATTTCAGAAAATCAGAACCTAACTTTATAGCATAAGACTCTTAAAATTCAAGTTTTTATGATTCTAATATGCCAAAATGAAATTTTCTGTATAGTAATGAAGCTACATTTATGGAAGGCCCAATGCTTTTTGTACCTCTAGTTAGTCACAATTATCAGCAAGGTAGCATCTTTGTCTCAGATTACAGATGTGTAACTTCCCTAAGGACATGCAACTATCAAAGCATACAGTTAAGTGTGAACTCAGAGCTTTCTAACTCAAAAACTTACCTTATTTCTTCTCATGCTGCCTTCCCAAGAATAAACATTAGTTGTTAAGCTCTTAACATTTTCAATAAAGTCTCTTTTCTATTAATGCTTCTAATTTGTTTTCTTATTTAGAAAACTCATTCATTCTCAGCGCCTTATCAACAGTGAAGTTTAATAAAAGTCCTCAGAGACTTTTCTGTAGGCCTAAAATTATTTCAAAATAAACTATCAAAAGAAAAAGAAAAGGTACTCATCCAGAACCATTTTATTATCTAAAAACAAGGGTTGAAAAAATGAAAAGGTAAGTGCTCATATAAAACCCAGATTGCCTGATGAATATGATGTTCCAGTGCATGGACTTGGAGGGAAACAAAATTACATTCTTTTTTACTGGATTCAAGGTAAATTTCTCAAACTTACAAATAAACATGGATGGAAATAATAGGCATAAATTAATCTAAGCAGAACAAATTTGGAAATTATTAAACAGGTCTTGGTCAAGTAGGAGAAAATGTGACTATGCATCAATATCCATGGAAGCAGCCAGTCAAGAAATCAAGTGGAATACTGCACTGGGCAAATCTGATGCAAAGATCTCTTTACAGTTTTAAAAAGCAAAGATATCACTTGATAACTAAGGTGCATTTGACCCAAACCACAGTCTTTTTAATTGCCTTCTGTGCATGAGGAAGTTAGATAATGAAAGAAGACGACAAAAGAATTGATGCGTTTAAACTGGTATTGGCGAAGAAGATTGAATACACAACAGACCGCTGGAGGAAAAAACAAATCAATCTTAAAAGAAATTCAACCAGAATGTTCCTAAGGATGGGGAGACTTCAACTTGCTGCCTCTGGATACATGATTAGGAGGACTGATTGTTGCAAAAGGACATTATGGTTGGTGAACCAACCAACAGACAAGAGTGCTGGGAATGCTCAGTGAAGTCTAACAACAGCTTCAACCATGGACTCCTCCATCCCAGGACCAGCAACGTTTCCTTCTGTTATACACAATATTCCCAGGAGTTGGTGCCAACTCACAGCAACTAATAAGAACACTTTCTCAATGCCTTTATTAAGTCTTTGGTTCCTTAAAGTGTGTTGTATCTCAGATAAAGCCAAGTACTGGTGAACAAAGGGACACAATAGTTAATGAAATGATTAAATAGCTATAAGCTAAGAGAAATACAATCAATTCATAATCACAAAAGCAACACTAAAGCAAGAAGACTAGTTTTTGAAATATTCAGTACACACTATACAACAAATATCTGTTGAATGATGGAATCAATGCCAAACCTATTTTTCAAGCAGTTATTTGCAGGTTTGGGGATAGGTGGGTGAGTACGTAAGCTAGGGATTACAAAAGAATAGTCAATACATTTTATCCAAGGCTGCTCTTCAAATACGTAGAAGGTGCTATGACTGTTTCTTAAAAAAGGACAATCCAATGGTATAACTCTGATGTTTATGTATCAAGAAAATTCACTGAAAGAAAAAGCAGAAAATGGGTAGGACCTTCCTTCTGGAAAAGTTAACACAATGTTTACTTTTCCCCCCACATATTTAGGGCTTCTCTGCCTTATTTTAATCCTAGGGCCAACTCCTGTTTGCAGTCTTATTTTTATAAAGACCTGAGATCTATCAATGGTTTTAACATGTTTTAAAAGACTGAAAAAAGTTAAACTATTTAATGACACATGAATGTTATGTGAAATTCATATATACTTTTAATTGACAAGTAAGTCCATTCATTTTCAAATAATGTATGGTTACTTTTGTCCTACAAGACAGAGTTAAGTAGTTCCCTAAGGAAGACCAATAAGCTAAAGCACTTCGAGTGAAGGAATGGGCAGAAGAAGGGGAGAAAGCAAGTAGAGGTAAGAAATTCTTGGCAGGCCCTGCTAAGAGAGGATTTCAATCTACAGCTAAGAGCACTAGAAGCCAATCAGGGCATTTAAGTAGAAGCGTGACAATTAGATTTTCATTTTGAAAAGATAATTTCTGTTGTTAATTTGAGGGAACCAGAGTTTTAAGATGTAATTAAATAGGTTAGGGATTTACGTAGTTTAAGTGATAGATGATCAGTTTGGACTGTGGCACCAGCTAAGTAAGGAGGCTGGGTAATAAGATTGCAAGAGGGGGTGGGGAGGGTGTCCTTAAAAAAACTCGTGGAAAAAAATGTAACCAAAAGATAATTAAAATTTTCCATAAACTTTTACAAGTCCCCATATTTGAAGCCCTAAATCCTTATGCTTTAAATTGTTACAGAGCAAAGAGGTTGTTTCCAAGTCTAGTTCTGACTTCCCAGAGTATTTCTAATTATAGTAAACAATTCCTAAATCGATTATACAGCTCTCCAATAGGGAGAGATGGCAATTGAGAATCACCCATCTAAAAGTTGGGAGAACGATTATAGGATAAATTATTTTTCTCCCATATTAGAATATTTTTTTTAAAACATGGCCAGGTTAAAAAGTGCTCCTTTTATAAACTTAAACTTATGATTACACAATGAACAGATAATACAATATACATGAACACAAAAGGTAAATAAATACAAACACTGCTTAGGTACATTGTACGAGGTACTTTCTCAGAACATAGTAATCACAAAACAGAATATACCTGCTGCATTCAATCAATGAAACTTTGAGGCGGCCTTCAGTCAGTGCCCATTGCTGTATGTGGATATGTTCGTCTTCATCCTCTTCGAATCCTTGCAAGGTTTGGAATGGAAAAAATGGCTTGAACCTGACAAAAGTAAAGATAAGTCTAAATTTCTGAGTTAAAAACACCAGTTTAAAGCTTAATAAGATAAACAGCATAAAACAGAGTAAACCCCTAATACTAAATGTCCCCTAGAAAAACAAAGCTTACCATGCCCACCCCCAACAAGCAGCAAATGATGCCTTTTCTGGTCTTTTGCCAGCTCTAGTTGACAAGGCAAGACCCTGAAACAGGGCAAGGGTGGATTTAGCGTTATTCAGAAGGTGCTTAAGCTTGGTCAATGAAGAAGAGGTTCTTTTCTGGACCAGATAGGAAAAATGTTTCTAGAGCATAAGATCAAAACTCAGAATGCACTTTCCATGGAAACAATATAGAAGATTGAATAAGGATGGTGATAATAATCACAACTTCAACAATGAACAGTGACAAAATTATTCACCTGGCATTTATTATTTATTTGCCAAGCAGCGTGCTAACAGTTTTACATGCATTATCCTATTTAATGCTCACAAGAGAAAGAGTGATTGTACTGGCTACCCACTCCAGTTATGGAGTGAGGCTTAGAAAGGTTAAGAAATTTGTCCAACTTTACCTAGTGAGTGGTAAAACCAGAATCTAAGCTAGTTAATTTGGCTTCACCCAAGCTCAAACTACTGAACACTTACTTCAGGTATCTATAAATTATCCAAGCATTTATATGGCAGTGATTAATGCCAATGTTTTATGGGCAAGCTTATCTGGAGTTATTAATGTTCTCTTTAAAAATGTTTAGTTTGAAACACAACTCATAGACCTTTGTGAAAAGAATCAAAAGCCAAACCAAACTCACTCCCAGAGTTGATCCCGACTCACAGCGAAGCCCTAGAAGGACAGGATAGAACCTGTGGGTTTCCGAGTTTGTAATACTCTAGAGGAGTGTAAAGTCTCGTCTTTTGCCTATGGAGTGGCTGGTAGTTTTGAACTGCTGACCTTGCACGCCACCAGGGCTCTTTTCATGAAAGTAAAGGACAATTAAAATGAGAAAAAATTTCGCTTGGATTGTACGGTTTCCAACTCACCCTCCACATACTGGCACTAGAGTCTTGTTATAAATGTTTACATTTGCTTGCGCAGACGTTTTACTGGTTTCCCACTAACCACAAAAAAGTCAGAAGTTCTTGATTTAAAAAGTTTCAATAAAAAACTCAAGAAACATTGAGATGATGCTGGAAGTGGAGGTACAATTTGGTAAAAGAAAATGAGAATATTTGTATGGGAAACAGAGAACCAGAAGAGAATGCATGCAGACAAAGTCTCTATGTTCATATTTTAAGGAGTCTGGGAGGCCTTCCCACTCATGAGCTGGAGATGATTCTCAGTCACATTCTCCTAAGTAAAAGTTATTCCCTACAATGTACGGCCATAACAATGCCATTTTTTAAGGTGCTTCTTGCAAGCACATGGTTACTACTAAAAATACTTGAAGGTTAATTGCTTGAATGCCATCTGCCAGCAAAAGCAATCAGATCATAGACCCCTAAGTACAGCCCACCCCTTCTGATATGAATCATAGACTGTTCCCCTGGAGAAGAGCTCAGGGACAGTTTAAGGTCAAACCAGCTGAGATAACCAAGGTTAGGCCGCCACCTTAACTCTAGTACCTGCCCATCTTGTTACATATGTACCTTTCTGTCACATGTATGCCTGTAGTACCTCCCCTTCCTATTACATGTATGCCTAATACAATCCCTTCCTGTTATGTATGTGTATGACTTGGCTTACATGGCCGAGACTATATAAACTTGTGAGAGAATACATTCACCTTTCAACCTGGTTCGGGTTGACATGGGAGAGGTGAGCACTTGCATGTCTCGTCTGATGTCTCTTTAATTTACCCCTCAATTACAGAACTGCACTTTAGGACCCATTCGGTTGTGGAGGCTGGTCCCTCTACATGATTGTACAACTTGAAGAATGTAATTGTATATGTCAGTGAATTGTATATGTAGAAATTGTTGAACTGGTGTGTTCTGCTGTGTGTATCAACATGAACAACAAAATAATTTTGTTTTAAAGTTCTTGATTTTACATTCAAGTACCAACACAATCTTTCTAATTGTATTTTCCCTTATCATTAAGCTTTACACATCTAGGAATTCTAATTTTCTCTAGGCCCTAACACTTTGTTGGGGCAAGAAAGAGTCTCTACACAGGAAGCGTGTCTCCCTTCAGACCTCCTGTGCCTACTGAAGACTCTTCCCTATTCTTCAAAACCCAACAAACCCTACTCGCTTCTCATATTTGACTCCTGTTGCTACATCATACCAGATCTCACTATCATTCCTTCAAATCTTGCAATCATTTAATTACTGTGCATTTATGTCTTGAAATCTTATCTAAAATGTTACCTTTTCTCACATACATATAAATATCATGAAAATTATTTAAAATTTAAATACTAAATTAGAAAATATTCACTTAATGCAGAAGAAAGCAGTAAAGGAGGAACAAAGTAGCAAAAAGACAAGAGACATGCAGAAGACAGGGTAAATAGTGGTACATATCAATAGTAATGTCAAATGTGAAAGTTAAAGCAATCCAACCAAAAGAAAGAGTATCAGACTGGGTTATAAAAGAGATACAACTATATGCTGCCTATTGGCAATATAAATAAATAAATATATATCCACCACAACAAAGCTGGAGTGGCTACACTATTATCAGATTATATAGACTTTTAAACCAAAATAAAGTTACTAGAGATAAAGAGGAACATATAATGAATGATAAGGTAAATCCATTAGGAAAATACAATTATGAACATATATGTACATAATAACGAGGAGCCCTAAGTGGCACAGTGAGTTGGGCTAATTGGTTGCAAGGTCAGCAGTTTGAAACCACCAGCTGCTCCACAGGAGAAAGATGAGACTCTGCCCCTTTAAGAGTGACAGCTTCAGAAACCCACAGGGGGCAGTTCTACCCTGTCGTGTAGGGTCACTGTGAGTAAGAATCGACTTGAGGGCATTGAGTTGGGTTTATCATTATTGAAAGTGAGGTACATTTCCCAACTGTTGTTGAATTGTCCTTTTCTCCCTTCATTTCTATCAGTTTTGCTTCATATATTATGATATGCTGTTATTAGATACCAAACCAAATTGACTGTACCTCTCTATTAGCCTAGAAAGCCCCACCTTTCTCCTGTGGAGCAACTGGTGGTTTTGAACTCCTGACTTTGCAGTTAACAGCCCAATGCGTAACCACTACGCCACTAGGGCTCTTCTCAGTAATGATAGAACTGGGAAAATAAACTTTGAAATAGAATTGTAAAACACTACAACCCTAACAGATGACAATAGAACAGAACATCAACAACAACAGGAAATACAGGGTAAGTAAAAGTGCTACTTGGGTTCCAGTTCAAATACACACAGACTTATTACAAAGGAAGTGCTTAAATGTGTCTCTGCAATCAATTGATGGCTCCAGACAAGTTCTCTAAGTAATTTATTTATATTCTCCTCAGCAATACAGTAATAGTCTCGTTAGGGTGCTTTTCAAAAACAAACTACAATGAAAACATGGATACTGAGGGGATCTACTGGGCCAGTTAAATTCAAGGCAAAGAGGTCAGCACAAAAGGTTCAACTGACCATTTGGGGGGATGTCAAAAGGTAATCTTGATAGATTTTCTCAAAGAACACATGACGATCATGGGGGCTTATCAGGAAAGGTTTTAAGAAAATTGAAAACTGATCGGTGAGGAAAAAAAAGTCTAGGAAAGTGAGGCAAAGGGCATTTTCCCCCATCATGACAATGTACACGCTCTCTGTTCAAGGGGAGCAAGGGCTGTCTATGAGAATTTCCTTGGAAAATCTTATCCCAGGATCATACAGCTTTGATCCCATCAGACTTTTTTGTTCCCAAAATATCTAAGAGGAACACAATTTGAGGCCCTCAAAGAGGTCAAAGCTGCCAGTTTGACTTGGTAGAAATGGAAGACTGCAGAATTATGTGGGGAGGGGTTAAAGAGAGGGAAACATTGCCATCAGAAGTGTGTAGACCTAGTCAGATATGCTGAGCATGGCTTCATGTTTTGAGATTTGTTTGTTTAATAAAAGTTTCTATCATTTTACAGTAGTATCAAATGAGGGGAGGTGTTCAAGGAACCAAAGTATTGCCAGTTGCCATCTCCCCGCAACACACATTTTTGAATAAAGGAAAATAGAACTGAATCCAATCTACCACTTTTATATATTTATAGGGTCACTTAAGTCAAAATGAACTCGATGGTAGTGGGTTTGGTTAAGCTTTTATAAGTACTTCATAAACATTCTTGATTCTCAGGGGGGGGTGTGTGGCATTATAAGCTTTGTTTTCATGAGGAAGGACAAGGAAGCTCAAGCGGTTTGTGACCACAAAGGAAGTGGGATAGTTGAAACTGTGACAAACCACTCAACCTCGTGCTCCTTAAAACACCAAAGTATGCAAGTAATATGGCTATCAACTGAAAATAATGTCATACGTCCAATATTCATTAGGCTGAGTCAGAAGGTTAGACAATGATAGTGCCTTTCAATATGGCCAACAAAAGAAACTTCACAGTGGAGCAAACCTAAACCAAACCCATTGCCATGTATCCAATTCTAAATCATTGCAACCCCATGTAGGGTTTCTGATGCTGTAGACCCGGGGTCCTCAAACTACAGCCCACGGGCAACATCCGGCCCGCTGGGTGTTTTTGCCGCCGCTGCCTGTCCTGCTCAGCAGCCAACTCATCCAGTGTGCATAGAAATTTGTTCATAGTTTTTTTAAAAACTATAGTCTGGCCCTCCAACGGTCTGAGGGACAGTGAACTGGCCCCCTGTTTAAAAAGTTTGAGGACCCCTGCTAGACAGATAGCCTCATCTTTCTCCTTTGGATTGGCTATTGAGTTTGATCTCTTAACTTTAGGATTAGCAATCCAATGCTTCCCAACAGTGCCACCAGGACAGTGCCACTAGGCCAAAGACTCAAACATTTTGACTGAGGGCTCCTTTACAATT